TTTTGCAGGAGGAATTAATTATTAATTTACTAACAATTAATTTATTAACAGTTTTATTGACATTAAATTTTAATGTTTTATTATCAAATTTTCAATTAAATTTTATTAAAATGAATATATAAAATCAATTTTTACAATAAAATTAATTTCGTATTATATTTATAATAATTTACAGTTATCACTATTCCTTTAGATATATATAATTAATATAATTATATATAATTAATAATCAGTATGATTTTTGAATTTAACAATTCAACAATAAGATATTTCATGTATCTAATAAAATTTAAAAAAATTAAATTTAAAATTTGATAAAATATTGCTATATAAAATATATAATATTTCTTTCTACTTCTATTCTTTCTACTTTCTACTTTTGTAAAATGTAATAATTGTTTTATTCATTATTATTTTATAATTAAAATTCAAATATTTTTACTTTTTCAATTTTTAGTTATTAAAATAAGTTATTTAAATAAATATTTCGATAAAATATTTCACACAAAATTTTCAAACATTTGAAAGCAACATCTAATTAATGGATCGCTGTTTTCAGATTATCATTTTGCATAAATTACTTTTCTCTTTTAAAAAAAGTAAATCAAAGATCCGTTATTTTTGAAAGTAATTTTAGACGAATTCTATTCACATAGTAGATAGTAGAGTATGTTAAAAACCTCCATATTTTCTCGCCTTTCTTTCGCCAATAAATATTCATCAATCAAACATTCGTATTCCACGATTAACGGACGTACCAGTTCACAAGATAGAAGTAAACAGATGAGAAACGATACAAATACAAATTAATTTAATGTCTAATTGAAGACAATTTACAGAATCAATCCAGACTCAATGTATTCAATCAATCATTTCATTCTAAAGATTTATTTTTTCAAAATTATCGTATTATCCATTATCGTAAAGACCAAACAAATATATGATTCATGCTCATTGATAATCGTTTTGATAATTCAATTCCAATCAAATATAAGCTTACGGTTTATTGTAATGGGAAATGATCAAGAATGAATCTTCCAATTAGTGGAGCAGAGATTTGACAAGTAAATTAACGCAAATGTGCCAGCTGTAACGGCGTCTTAATTCCACTGGTGTATTCGATTGAATTACCACGTAACGAGTGGTCTTATAATATGACTCGAAAGTTGCGATACTGGAACGATGGGCAAGACAGGAAAGAAGCGAAAAAGAATGGAACTGGAATTAATCGAACTTTCTTTATGAATATAAATTTCACAAAATATTTTATTGGGTAATGTTTTAGATTTAAAAAAAAAATACGAAATTCTTTTTTGTTTATTAATGTTGATTTTAATGTTGATTTAATTTTTGAAAAAAATTAATTTCTGAGTTTCAAAAAATTGTTTAAGTTTTAATTCCGTATAGTATACATAGATATCTTTCGATTTATTCCAATTTAATTTAATTCTATTACTTAAATAGTTTTCCTATTTTTATTTTTTTATTCCTTCATTTTTCAATTTCTGAATTCATATCTTTCCATATCTTTCCATTAGTTATCATTTCATTATCAACAATTTCTACATCCCATAAATTTTGAATTCTATTTTGAATGGATCATCATTGATTTCACATTTTTTAAATTATTATTCTATTATTTTCATTTCTCATCTCTCTCAATATCATTTTCAAATCTCACAAATATAAAATACAAATAATCTCAATTTATATCCTACAATTTATATATCATTTGATATTTTAATTTTGACTAACTTATAATTCTCCAATTTCTAATTTTTTTTTATAATCATCAATTTTTAATAAATATTATCAGTATCTTCTCAACTTTTAATATTTTTCAATTATATCAATTCTTATATCCTTATTAATACTTTTTATTATTTTATTATTCTCATTTCTTAATTTTCAAGTATCATTTTCAAATCTTACAAATCCTCAACTTTCTCAATTTTCATATCATCCGTTTCCCTCAATTATATTATTCCTATTCACATTAATTACATCCCCATCGATTTAAAGAACTCTTTGATTCTTTTTTTGATCTCCACTCTTTCTTTTCATTCATTTCCAGGCATTCAAGACAAGGATATTTTCTTCAGAGATAAGATATAAGGCCGCGTCATAGTCCTCGGTAAGTTGGCGCGAATACAAATCTTGCAATCGAAACGCGTGCGCGCGAGCGCAATTACAATGACAATAACAATCCGGCAAAGAAGGAAAGATTATCGCAACAGGCAAAATGATCTTTCTCGCCACAAAGACGACAACGAGGACAAGAAGGAACCACCACATTCGTTTGAAGAAAAGAGAAAGACCGTTGAATCGGAATAGGGAGGGGAGGGGGGGGGGGAACAG